GATGTTGTAATAAGTTTATATGACACTTTTGGGCGTCTTAACAAGCTTTTTAGGACATTTTTAATACAAAATGTCGCATTAGCAACTTTATAGGATACTGTTGAGAAAGTGTCCTATAAACTCAAATTTTTATAGGACATTTATTTTTATAGGACAGTTTTTCAAATAGTATTTTATAACGTTGCTAATGGAACGCTTTATATTAAAAGTGTCCTAAAAAACTTATTACGACGTAAAAAAACGTCATATAAACTTATTACAACACCTTTAGATAGAACGCTTTATTTTTTTCGTCCTATAAAATAAGTCTTATAAAGAGGTCTATTAAGACGCTTAGAAATTGGAAGTGTCCTATAAACCCGATTTTGTTGTAGTGTTTGTTATCGATAATAATGTGAATTTGTTGTGATAACAATGTGATTTCGCTATGTTAAATCAAATATATTTTGTGATATGATTTTCAGGGATAATAATGTGATTTTGTTGTGATATGGTTTGATATGTTAGATCTAGTGATGATTACGTCCACACTTATCGGCTCTATCTCTTTATTATGTGATTTACAATTTTTCCACATTTACCTTTGCATGTCTTCGATATTCCTACAAAGTGGTAATTATTTATTTAATATTTTATTGTTTTCTTAATCCTTCTAAAACTATAAAATAAAATAGAATGATATCTAACAAGTTTTCTTGCATTTGCATAAATCACAAGTGTTTTCGTTTGAACCTTCTATACATACATATATATATATATATATATATAGAGAGAGAGAGAGAGAGAGAGAGAGAGACTTGGGATCATATGACACCAAGGCTTTTTCGTGAGACTCGTAAGACCAATTCTCAACCCTTGGATTAGATTTACAATCTCAACATTCATAATCATAAAATTGCCACGAGACTTCTAAAAAATAAAAAATTGTCACCGTGCAATTTTAGACCATTAGATCATTAACTTATAAAGTTGATCAATGAACATAAATTGGTCTCACGTGTCTCACGAAAAACATATGGTCTCACGTGAACCCAACCCTATATATATATAGATATATATATAGATATATATATATATATATATATATATGGTTGAATGAGGTTAATTTGTATGGTTTGTACAAATAACACGGTTTGCAAAGTAAACCTCCTATATATGTATGTATGTATGTATGTATGTATGTATGAGGGATAAAATGCAAACCAAGCCATTAGTATATAAACCGCGAGAACCTTCGATTTAATTGTTTAATTTAGTGAAACTATTTCATTAAATTGTTTAATATGATGAAATTGTTTCAAATAATTTATTTTTGTTTCTATGTAAAAATTAAACTCTTATGTATTTCTCATTTTGATGAAATTTGTTTACTAAAATTAATATAATGAAGATAACAATTTCTATATTAAAGCTTTCAACAATAAAAATGACCAGTCAACCCTCATGATTAAAAAAAATATGATTGTTTGAATGAGGTTTTCATGGTTTATACTAATGGCTTGTAATGCATTTTATCCTTTTAAGAACTCATGAAATTATGATAACCTTGAAAATTAGTGTATCATGTGCTATTTTATGAATTTTTTTTCTCATATAAGACTATAATTTAGAATATCAATTAATAAGGGTTCTACAAAACATCATCAGACCGAATTAGTTGATGTCTATCAATCTGAAACTCCCTAATTTGATGTTGTACTGTGGTGGAAAGAAAATGCTAATAGTTATAGTATTTTACTACAACATCAGGTTTATAGTATGCTTAAAATGTCTAAGCGTTCTAATATGATATTTTATAGGACTTAATTTTATACAACGAAACAAAAAAACGTCATATCTAAAAGTGTTGCAATATGTTTATCGGACTTCTTTGGTGTGTTAATAAGTTTGTAAGACGCTTTTAAAATAAAGTGTCGCATTAGTTATTTTATATGATATTATTTGTATAAAATAGATTATACGACACTTTATTTAAAAAACGTCCAAAAGAATTTGTGGAAACGCTAAAAAAAGGTCCTATAAACTTATCGTAACACTTTGAGATGATACATTTTATAGTTTGGTCCTATAAATTTAAGTTCTATAAAATATTTTCTTTGTCAAATTTATATAACTACTAGCTCGTCAACCCAACCCACAAAAGGTTGGCTTGGATTATACTTTTAATTGGCTTGGGTTGAAATTCAAAACCGTGCTATAAATGAGTTACGTCGTATAAATGTCATAAACCACCCAACTCAACCCGCGTACACCATTATCATTTAATATATATTTGTTTTCACTTGTATTTGTTTTAGAATGTCAATCTTGTTAACATGTTTGTGAAACAATAGTTACATGTAAAAAAGTTTCACATTGTGAACACATACATACGAAACAAATACATTGTGAAACAAATACATTGTGAAACAAATATATGTTCATAACTATATTAAATATTAGTCTTAGATGAGAAAAAAAAACATGATACAATACCTTTATGTATGTATGTATGTATGTATACATACATATAAACATATATATATATATAAATATATATATATATATATGTATATAGGTGAAGGTTCAAACGAGAACCCATGTGATTTACGATAACGTGAGAACAACCCAATAACCTCAAACTTTTTTAATTAATAAATTAACTTATATTAAATATAAATAAATTAATAAGAGTACTAATGTAATTAAGTAATTTTTATTTTTTTAATTAATTATAATTATCCTTTTTTTTCCTGGATTGATCACGTTCGTTTCCACTCTCTTMTMTTCCCTTGTGATAATTGTGTGATTGTGTAACCATAACCTATCGAAATCATGATCAATCGGGTGTAACCATAACCTATCGAAATCATGAGTAATCGTTGTGATAAATGTGTGATTGTCTAACCCTAACCGATCAAAAACATGATCAAATTGAGTGCACAAGTAATGTTATAACAGTGATATCACATGATTATCACACCAAATCGTTTAGTGAATTTCGTCCGTAATCGTTGTGATAAAAGTGTGATTGTCTAATCCCCTAACCTATCAAAACCATGAGTAATCGTTGTGATAAATATGCGATTGTCTAACCCTAACCGATCGAAACCATAATCAAATCGAGTGCGCTGTTATGATAGTGATATCACATGATTATCACACCCATATCACACCAAATCAGTAGTCGATTTTCTAAGTTAACCTTAGCCGAGCGAAATCCTTGTGATAATTGTGTGATAATCACA